GGGTTTAGGGCTAGGGGTGTAGGGTTAGGGGTTTAGGGTTTAGGGTCCTGGAGTAGCAAGGGGGCCTGGAGCAGCCTGAAAGTTTGGAGAAATCTTGCTGACTCCAGCTATTGTTTTGCTGCACCCCCTTTTCTGCCAAATTGCGACGCTCAGATTTCCGAAGCCCCAATCCCTGAACCCTAAACCCTAAAATGAGGGTTGCTCTGAGGTCTATTTGAGCCACGCTAGAGCCCAGAGGGCAAACAGGTAAGGACCCCCTGCCCTAAAGCTGGCTGAACATGATCACAGCTCTCCCTGTAGCACCATACTTAATGTAAGGGATACAGTCCCGTATTCCCTACGAAGTACAAATAAGCATAGAGCCACGGCCACAACGGCCTAAATCGTAGACCTTACCGCTCAACACTGCTAGCACGTCGCCGCTTTTCTTAAACCATGGGTGGCGCGAGCAGTCTTCACGCAGGGATGAAACGAAACTCAAGCGGGAGAAGCCCTTGGTAAAGGAACCTCGTTGGATACTCTTGATACGAAAAATCCTGGATGACCTTAGTATACAATAGTAGCATAAACCCCAAGGTATAAGGTGCCTAGAGTGATGCAGGATTGTCAGCATCCACCGTATAGTAGCTGCTATCCCCAGATCTTTGATGCAGTAAGTATCATACGCCCAGACATCTCTACTGCAATTGTGATGCTACAGATGGTTTGCCCTAAGCCCTAAACCCTAAAACTGGGTGTTATTGGAACTTCTGGAGCTCTCTGTGGTGGCACCCTGACTTTCTAAGCGAACTGTAAACTTAGGGCTTAGGGTTCTTTAGCTAAGCTGAAATTAATGCTTAGGGTTTGTGGTTTAGGATAGTTCCCCAGAACCCAACCCGTACTGTATGAAAGGTGCAGATATAACATATGTGTACAGACATACATAGTAACCCCCTAACCTACAGCTCCAAGCGTTAGACAGCACACGTACGCACGTACATATGTATGCATGTATGGAACCTTAAACCCTAAACCCTAGATAGTAGGTTTCCGTTTTTCCATTATCCCAATATAGCCCCTATATATGTATGCAAGATTAGCAAGGGATGATCTGGAACCAGCTTGGGATTGAACGGAAGGATTGAGGGTTCAGGGTAGCAAGCAACGGTGGACACTTAACTTTCTTTCACGACACTAAGTACCTTGTGCCTTTTTAACTAAGGGCTGATAGCATAATGAGGTGCCGCAGGAATTGTTGAATCATTCGAACCCAGTATTGTGACCTGAGCTCTACTAAGTCAGGAATGTCTCACATATGAGCTACAGTCTTAAACTCCGAGTATCCCCCTTGATAACCCCTAGAATAGTCCCCTAAACAACCCTCTCTTGGGAGTTTAGACCCTGAACCCTAAACCCTGAAACCTATAGACTCTAGGACATATGAGCCAGCTGTCGCCCCATTCAGTTCTGTGACCAGCGGCCATGGGGCCACATGCCGGAAGGATGAGGATTCTGCTCCAAAGAGCTGTTTAGGGTTTGGGGTTTAAGGTTTAAGGTTTAGGGTTCAGAGTTTCGGAGGCACAGCCCATAACCACCATCCCCGTGCTCCCCGGTATGAAACAGGTAGTAGCTTGCGATCAAAAGACACCTAGTGGCCAGAATGGTTAGGGTTTAGGGTTTGGGGTTTGGGGTTTGGGTTTGGGGATTCTGTTCCCTAATAATCAAAATCCTTTGATGACCTCTTAGCTGCAAAACCTTTTGTGCCCGCATTTGAAACCTGGGGTTTAGGGCTTAGGCATCAATAACTGGCAATGCAATCGTTCTATTCTGACGAACGCGACAGATTAGGGCGGAGGAGTTACGTTGCTCTAAACATTTAAAACCCTAGATCCTAACCCCAAAACCCTCTAAACTCTAAACCCTGAAGCCTAAATCCTGAGGTAAAAGCCTAAACCCTATTAAGCCTAAACCCTATAAACCCTAAACCCCGAACCCTAAATCCTTATGTAAAACCCGAAGCCCTATAAACGCTAAACCCTAGAAACCCTAAACCTGGATCCTATTTCCTGATGTAAACCTTACATCCTATAACACCTAAACCCTATAAACCATAAATCCTTATGTAAAACCCTAAACCCTATAAACCCTAATCCCTGAATCCTATTTCCTGATTTAAGCCCTAAACCCTATAAACCTCAAACCCTATAAACCCGAAATCCTTACGTAAACCCTAAACCCTATAACCCCTAAACCCTCAACCCTGTACACCCTTCACCCCAAATCCAAAACCCTAAACCCCATAACCCCTAAACCCTTATGTAAAACCCTAAACCCTATAAACCCTAAACCCGATAACCCATTAACCCTTATGTAAAACCCTAAACCCTATAAACCCTAAACCCGATAACCCCTAAACCCTATAACCCCTAAACCCTCAACAGGATGCTGCAGGAGGTTCCCAACTCTGGGGGGGGCGTAGACTCCCAACTCCGGCACTTCACCGGCACTACCTGGGTATTTCCGGCAAGAAGGGGTTTTGCGTTTAGGGCTGAGGGCTTAGAGTTTGGGGTTTAGGGTTTAGGAGGTATAGAAAAGGCATGTGTGCATCAGGGCATGTTTCGGGGTATGTTTTGTTTTGGGGCGTGGTTCGGGGTATGTTTCAGGTTATGTCCGACTCTTGTTTAAGTGGAGCTTTGGGGGCACATGCTTCAGTTTGTTCTCAGGGTATATGTCGGGACGATGCGTGCGCACCTCCAGATCGGGACGGTGTGCGCACCTCCAGACTTTCGAAGTAGCCTCTCCAAAAGCTCTCCCTAAGGGTCCAAGTACCTAATGATCATATACTTGCCCAAAACCTGTACTATAATTACTATTACCCAAAACCCAAGTCCTTAATTGTTGGGTACTTGGACCCTAAATCCTAAACCCCAAACCCTAAACCCTAAACCCTGAATCCTAAATCTATGGATCCCTATATATCCCCCTTAAGGGGACTTAATTATTGGGTACTTGGACCCTCAGGGGTTATAGGATACGTGCAGGCAACGTAGCGATGCAGAGCGGTTGGCGCAACTGGCTGATGTGCTGGATACCAACAACTCAGGCGCAGGTTTAGGGTTTAGGGTTTAGGGTTTTGGATGTAGATTATAGGGTTTCAGAGTTGAGGGGGCTTAGGGGGTCGCGGGGTTGAAGGTTTTCAGGGTTAATGGGCCTAAACCCTAAACCACTCACCGACTAACGAAGTTTTTCACCGCAAAACGCCCGAACATTGCGCATGAGCCTGGTAAGCCCATAGGACTCCACGAAGAGGCATCCTGCTACAGTAATGTAGAGGCCTAAATGTGTACAGTACATATGAGCTATAGTCTAAACTCCTTAAAGGGGGTATCTAGGGGGATTATATAGGGGAGTATAATAGGGGCTATTAAGGGGGATTCTAGGAGTTTAGACTATAGCTCATCTGTAAAGGTTGTTTATGGGGAAAAGCTTGTGCTTTTTCAGGCTTCCACAGTAAGCTCGCGGCCCCAAAGCCTGAACTCCAAATCCTAAACCCTCACGGAGGCACGCTGTCCCCAACCATAAACCCTAAGCCCTAAACCCTAAGCCCTACATGCTAAACTTTAAGCCCTGAACCCTGAACCTTAAACCCCCAAACCCCAAACCCTCATGGAGGCACGCCGTCCTAAACCTTGAACCCTGAACCTTAAATCCTAAACCCCAAACTCTAAACCTTCATGGAGGCACGCTCTCCTTCCTGGAGCTAGCCCATGGCCTCCGCCCTAGTGACCAGTGGAGTCCCGAAGCCAAGGCTCCAGACGGTTTAGGGCTTAGGATTTAGGATTTAGGGCTTCAAGTTGTAGGAATTTAGGTTTAGGGGTTAGGGGTTAGGATTTGGGGTTTAGGGTTTAGGATTAATTTGGGGTTTAGGGTTTCGGATTTAGGGTTTAGGGTACGTGGTTCGACATACCTAGAGCCTAGACTGACATGGAAGCCCAAAAAGCAGTTCTGAAAGTAGGCTTTTCACCCTTTACCAGGGGGCTGTCATGGGCTTCTAAGTTTGTTTCCGGAGGGTAAGCTTTTCAGGAGCCATATAAAGGGTTAAGGGCTTGAAGAACCCTGGAAGTTTGCGGGTGAACGGGTGAGGTGCAGGACAAGTTTTCTTACTCTAAGGGTCCAAGGACCCAAATAATAGGGTTTTAGGGCCCAAATACCATGTATATTATAGTATTTGGGCCCTAAAACCCTGTTATTTAAGTCCTTGGACCCTTAGGGTTACTCTAGGGCCTCATGCCTTCGACACCCAGGTTGAGGATCGCAGGAGATATTCCTGGAATCATGTTGCCAGTATTTTGGGCCATAAGCCCTCTTTACTCCCCATAAAGCCCTGAACAAGCATTTTTAAAGGGCTTTTCGATCTATCCTAGACGAATGTTTTCGGGTTTGGACGGAGGAAGGGAGGGTTCCAGCACAGCCCTAACTAAACCCTGAACCCCATGAAGTTATACACCTTCCAGCTCATTGTCTGTGGTGGGTCATGTATGAGATAAGATGCTTCATATGAGTGACCGCCTTTATTATCGTGTAGGAGGCAAGAGCAGGCAGCAATAAAATCCAGAGGCATGAGCAAAACTCTAGTAAAGCGTAAGGGCTCCCCCAAAAGCGATACCCCCGAAATGGATGACAGCAGTGAGCAAGAACCCTGAAAAGCGCTAGGCCCTCCAAAGCGATGTTGTACTTAGCTGTGTACTAGTAATTTCGGTAGCTGCTCATATACTACAGAATATATATATATACATACACTGCATATTATACAACCTGCTACATGCACATTTTCCAATGGCTTCAGGGCATCGCAAGCTACAACAGCTGTAGGAGCACTCGCTAACAGGAACAGTTGACCCGCCTTACACTGAAAAAAACCAACCCCCTAAACTCTAAACCCTAAAACCGTAAACCCCTAAACCCTAAACCCTAAACCCCTAAACCCTAAACCCTAAACCCTAAACCCTCAACCTAGGCACCAACAATAAAGATTAAGCCTAAGCATTCGGCGTCCCGATTGTTTACATGAAGCCCATCTATGGGCTACACCTGCAGGTGAAAAATAAGTACTATTGAGCTGAAGGCTATTGTGTGTTCAAGTTTGAGTCCTAGATCGGGGACTACCAATCTCCCGAAAATTTGCTTAGGGTTTCAAAGTCTCTCCACATCCTGGAGCCACAAGCCGTCAATCCAAAAAACATTAAAAACCTGCACGTTGAACCCTACACATTTCTCCCCAGCGCCTCCCCCAGAGATCCTGAACTCTGAGAGACCTCTCCTTGATACCAAAATGGTAGGACCCCAATAAGGGCCCCCAAATACAGTAATCCTTGTTACAGGGACGCCCCAAACGGGTACCCCTAATTTGAGGAAACCCCAAAGCCCTAAACTCCCCTAATCCCCTTACCCGGAGCTATATAGCCATCCCCAAACTCTGAACCCCAGCGCCAGGGTTTACCATTGAATTTCCATATTCTTTCCCATGTGATTCTCCCTTCCAGGGGGAATAAGTTCCTTATAATGGTCCCTCTATACACACTTTTTGGTGGTTAGTAAGGAAGAAGGGAACATAATCCTTATATATATTTTTATATAACATGTTCCCTTATTCCCTACGTATCCCAGGAAGTGTCTATACATACATAAGATATATATCCCTTTACACATGTCGGCTTCACCACTCAGACGCCCAAACCCCTAAACCCTGAACCCCAACTCTTTCCTGCCAGGTGTCCGGGTTTGATGAAGTTCTCGGCCATAGAGAGGCACCCAGAAGCTTCCCAGAGTGCCCTTAACTCGGGCACTCACCCTAGATGATACGGTTGAGGGTTTACCTAGACCCCAAAAGTATGTAAAACAATGGCCTTTATGGCTGTTATTATGGGTTTAGGGTTAGTATTTTACATACTTCAGCGGTTTAGGTAGGCTTGATCTTACCCTGAATGATACCCAGAGTGCCCAATACCCCGTGATTGAGGTTGAGGGTTGAGGGTTTAGAGTCTAAGGTTTAGGGTTCCCTTTATTAATGAAGGGCTTTTACCCTACATGGTTCTAGCAACCCTAGTATGATTTATTATGATTTAAGGTATGTTCTCGTATATTCCTTAATTAAGGGGAATTGGGCTCTCTGGGTTCCAAGCTGTTCGCAGTGGTCCAGGAGTTTGTAAGGATTCGGTGAGGTGAGGTCATGATAGTGTGCTCCGGTCAAACAGCGGACTGTCATCAACCCCAAAAATGCCGACTGCTGCGTAAAAAACAAGTGAGCCTGCGATAACCTTAGCAGCATCAGGATGCTAAAATCAAAGCCATTCCTCTTTCTGCGCACATACTCTCCGCTCCCCCAGGCTTGCTGTCTCTTGCGGGTTAAGACTAAGCCAACGCTACAACCATGTTCCGGATACCCATAATTCCAGCCCTTGCGAGGTTTAGGGTTTAGGGGAACTATCAAGCCCCCTCCCCCCTCCACCTCGGAGATTGCCTGCTGAAACTAAGGACTTTGGGTCTTGGAATTTGGCTTTGTAGCTCCGGAACTTTGGAATACATTCCATTGGTTTGTGGGGGCTGGACCCGAAGAGGATTGTCCAAGTATCCAAATATTAGGGATTCAGGCACCAAAAACCATTCAAAGTATAGCCTTTGGGACCTACAGCCCCAATATTTGGGTAATAGGGAATTTAGGGAAAGATTGTAGCTGATCACAGTCCAGAGAACTGCCTCAAGCCCCCTAACAGTTAAAGTAGAACAGTGGAGAATCAAACGGAAAAGAACGCGGAGCATGACATGGACAAGATTGTATAGTCCATTTTGGGGAGCGATTATCACTTGGGTACTGCTTCCACCCATTAACAGTTGGATGATATTCCTATTATAATTTTGTATAGCCCTTAATATGACTCCTATTATAGACTGTTAATGGGTGGGGGCAGGACCCAAGTTATCACCATTATGGTCCAAGGTTCCTTGTATAGTTACCCGCGGTAAGGGGTACCTCAAACAGAACCGCAGATGATATGGGGATTTCCCAAAATTAGGGGTACCTTTTTGGGGGGTCCCTACAAAAAGGATGATAGTATATTGGGGTCTATTTTGGGGTCCCCTTATTTTGGTACACTACCATGTTGCCAATTATTCAGTCTGCTATAGTACGCTTGCTGTATTTACAATTAGCCAGGACCATACCTATCAGTGGTTTTTCCAAGAGATTGTCGTCTTCCAAAGCCGTGCAGGGATCCGCTGTAATTGAGGGACTTGTCCTTCATACCGTATTGGGACACTCCCATCCCGGGCTAGCCCTAAACCCTAAACTCTTCCCGCAATCACTGTAGCTATTTACTCCTTTTGAGGAATGTGGGCTTTGATTCTATCTACCTGGGCCCCAAGAGTAGCTAAAAGAATAGCCCAAAACACTTAAATATGGCCCGAAAGGCTATGATTCTACATACTTTTGGGGCTTAGGTACTAGGTAAACCCTAAACCTTCTGCTGTGCGCAGGCATTGCTGCGTGCCTGCCGGCAGCGATCCCAGCGAGGAGAGTGTAGACCAGGCTTTTGGATTTTGAACGTATTTTATGAGCCGTGGTCTACAAACTCCTAGCATCCCCGTGAATGAGCCCCATGATACTTCCGGATAGAATCCCCTACATAGCCCCGTGTAGGTTTTTTAGACTATAGCTCATGTGTTATA